ATTTTTATCCCTTCACTAATATTAATGAAAATTTAAGAAACCTGTTAGCTAGCTCTTCTGCTGATACTACCGTAAAACTATGGGACCTTCAATCATTAAAATGTGCACATTCGTATGATCATCACAAAGACAAAGTATTTATCGCTATCTTCATTTTTCTCTTGTGACAAATAATAATGAAAATTTTTTTTTCAAATGCTGATAGGTGCAACAGGTGGAATGGCATTTAATTGAGCCTACCATTATGCTAACCGCATCTTTTGATAAAACTGCGGTTGTATTTGATAGTCGTTCGCCTAAAAATGTCGCATCTTGGAATCTAGGAAATGCAGATCCAGAATGTATACGTTGGGATCCATTTTCGCCTCAATATTTCTACGTGAGTACAGAATCTGGGCTGGTTTTGTGTTTTGACGCGAGAAACTCTGACAAAATAGCACCGGTCTTCACATTACATGCGCATGATAATGCTGTAACATCTTTGGATGTGAATCGACTGGTTAGAGGATGTATGATTACTGGATCAACAGATAAAATGGTTAAGGTTTGGAATTTTAAGGATATGAAACCAACAATTGTCACAAGCCGAGATTTGGGTGTGGTACGTCATTTTCGCTATCAGAAAATCGTTAATTTATTTCTTATTTTTTCAATTTATTTTTTTAACACATTTTTCTTGCGATTTGCATATTGAAGGGAAAAGTTTTTTCTGCGCAATTTTGTTTAGACTTACCCTTTAATATGGCTGTAGCTGGTTCAGATGGGAATGTAAAAATTTGGGATTTATCAACCAATGCTGGAGTAAGAAGCTCGTTTAAAGAATCGATTAATGCGCCTTTCAAAGACAACATACATACTGTAGATGTACGTTTAAAAATTTTTTTATACCTTTATTCAATCAATATTTTAATATTTCCATATTTGTAGAAAACTGTTTCTGTCTTACGAGATGAAGGAAGTGAACATGATAATGACGATGATGATGATAACGAAATAGATTTGGAAGAAATAGATAATGATAGCGGAGATGATGTATAACGCGCAAAGTTGTATCGACTATAGATTTATCGACTCGGCCCGTCTTTTATATTTTATGTCAAGATAATTATAAATAGAGCCGATACAACCCTAGCACCGATAAGTTATAAAATTGAATACCCCATATTTAAATTTAATCAGTCAATATTATTTAAAAAGATTTTTGAACTTCTGATCTATATCGATAACGTGTTTAACCCAATTTCCCCGCTAGCTAACAAATTTTGGCGCATTTCATTAGACATAAATTTTGAAATACAATCAAATTTATGCATATGTCGTATGTGTGTACGTACAATATGCACAAGAGTCATGGTTAGAGATCCTTCTCAAAATAAACAGAGAATATCATGTTTCCTTGTTCATTTTTTTTTTCATTGAATATAAAAAATTTATTTCTGCCTTCACACAAATTATTCTAACTCATCTGTTCGTTTGTTGAAATAAAATTAGAATATTCAAGTTTTATTATTATTTTATTTGGTATTGTATAATATATTTTGTGAATATTACTCCAAAAAATATTGTAAGACATCGCTAAGGGATGTGTCGTTTATTACGTAATTTCTTTTTATTAGAAGCCCAAACCCCTCCCCCCTAGGTGATAAAATCAGCAGCCAATCATAACGTTTATATTAAATATATTGACGTGATAAATTGCTGACC